GGAGATATTTTCTTGATATAGTTTGGTCCTTTAGTATCAACTGAGCACCATTTAAACACCACAGCCTATTGTTGCTTACCATGCCCACACCTTCCTGAGCACAGTGTACCCATATTCTGATGTTTACTTCCAGCAGTATAACACAACATCTCACAAAGCTCAAATCATCTCAAACTGATGTCTTGACCATGGCATTGAGTTCACTGTACTCAAATGGCCTCCACAGTCACCAAATTTAAATCCAGTAGAGCAACTTTGGGATGTGGTGGAACAGACATATCGATTGTTTTCTTGTGCGTTCCCAGGTTTGGTACATATTGGATTCTCTTGAGCTCGACTTTTACTTGAGCACCAAAACAAGACACATTTTAGAATGAATAGACCATTTAAATTAAAGGAATTAAGTGCTCTAAAATTCAAGTAGATTGAGACATTATGCTAATACTGCACAGTCAAAAACAAATCATTTAAAGCAACGTAGACTTCATAATAGCACAGAAACTGAGAATATCCCCAAAGTGAGCTACTCTTAATATTTGCATAAATCTATCCATCCAGTCTTCTACATAGTTCGGTTTCTACCAACTCAGCAGCTCATTTTATTTTGGTCTGCCACCTTCATATGCCACTATACTTGGAATGTGATTTTTCCTATTTTTAAATAAAATAGTTGGTAGGTATCAGTAGGGTTCCCATCTCATATTTGCTCTGGAGTGACCATGAGGCTAAATGACTGAGACTAAACTAGTTGCCTGGATGTTTCCTTTGTGCTGAAAGACGCCTGGTGAAAAGTGCTGAACCTTTAGATAATGGAAAGGTTCCTTTAACAACTCTGTCACCTTGGCACGACCCATTATTATGATTAATAGCGCCTCCATCCTCACGGAAAATTACAGCTATTTGTATATTTCCGTATGTATGTAGTTGTTGATTTACTAATCTGTGATGTGGAAGTCACTGTCAGAAGGCCAATTTGAGGATCCTTTATGATAAATGATGGTATCTATTGGAGCCAGCGGTGTGAAACCGGGTTATGACTAAGGTCACTCCAAATGGAGTTTGTGGGACTGTAGGTGCTTGCAAGTCAGTGTCATCAACATAGATCACAGAGACCCCCCTCCCTGAATGACCGAGCTGCTCTGACGCTTTTTAACTGCTGCTACAAAGACAGAGAACAAGATAGAAGAAGACGGGTTTTTTTGCATGTTTGCAAGAAAAATACAGCAAAATGGTGATACAGAGGCAGCTCAGATGGACTGTTTGATGTTTAAGAACACAAGTAGTGGACCGGCTTGGCCTCCCTTCAGCAGCTTTTTTGATTTATCGTAACAGAACATGTTAAGTGCTGCATTTAATGTAGCCAGATAGAATACCCATCTTCCCCTCCACTCCTACAGCACCCCGTGATCGTTATGTCATTTGTTTATGATCCACAGCCCCCTCATAATGGCCCGTTTGGCATAATGCAATCCATCAGTCTTCCGAATGGCCTACTTTCACATAGACACCTTTCCCCCTCCTGTGTGATGCATTAACAAAAAAATGCGTTAAACCAACGATTGACTTTGAAATAGCGACACGAGGACGTAGGTGTGTTTTCAGAAAGCCAGAGTCATTGCCGTTGGAGAGGACTATAATGTGATGACTACTTGGCAAGCGCATCCATTGTTATGTTTTTTTTTTTTCTTCGTTTTTTTTACGAGTCTGTAGAGGCAAAGTTGAATGCGTTCGTAAAAAGCTTTAGGTAATTGACATAGTCAGCTAAAAGTGCCTGTGAGTTTTTTTCATATTTATATTAATGCCACTAGTATACCAGAATAGTTGAGGCTTGGAAATGTTTCCCAAAAAATCAAAGTAAAATCCTGTTTATGTACTGTGAACCAAAATGGAAAATTAACTGTAATCTCTTATCTGCTGCTCTCCACCACTTTTTGGCATTTTAAATTTCAGTTGTTGATGTGTTTTTGCTGAAGGGAAAGCATATTGTTTTATATTTCATTTTCACAAAAGTAAGCTTGGTTAAAGTAATCGTTTTATGCCGGGGCCATGGCTTGGAAATGTCAAGCCATCACATACAGTAAAAGACACTGCTATCTCAGGAGGCGGCTTAAATGCTGAACATTGTCCATGGGCAGAAATAACTTTACATGAGCACAATATCCACTGACATTTGGTGTCTGTAGCACAGAGATCAGTGTCTGCTTTTTAATAATGACCCTCAGAATTATTTGAGGTTTTGAGAAAGTTATTGCATGTGGCAGGGGGGCATAATATCAGGGATTGACTGTTTCATTCACTGCAACATGACCTTACCCCTTTTACAGGCCTGGAGCCACTCTGTTTAGTGGAAATGTCATAACAGTCATGCACCAATCACCCGTGCTGAGGTTTTGGAACACAACTGTAGGTTCAACATAATAAAATCAGCCTTTTATGCAGATGTGTGGCTGGAGACGGAGATATCAGGGAAGAAGACTCACCTTTAGCTGAATATCTGCACATTATTTAGATACTGAAACAGTGTTTAGTGTTATTTACAGGGGGAAAGAGATCTGATGAGAAAAGTTGCTTGTATTTTCCAATAGATAAGCAATGCTTAAAACAGCACATCCACATTCATGTCAGCAACAGGCAGTATAACGATAGTCAGTATGGTGGAAGCAGCCAGTGGAGTACCAGGGGGAATCCAGGTTTATCTAGGATTGCCGCTGGCACCATAAAATCAGTTGTGGATCTAATCCAACACAAAAAGCAGGAATATGACTGGCCAACAAACAAATTTGACTTTATACTCAACAAGTGGATTTTTATGCAGGGGAATAAGGAAGCTAAGAAGTCAACTAAAGACTTTTACCCTCATATACACCTCCCACAGTAATTCTACAAGTTTGCTATGATGACCTGGTGAAAGTCAAAAGTTTAAGCCCTAGGGAATCACATGAAGATGTGGTGAGGCGGAAGGTAAAGTTTGGGCAGAAACTCAGGCTTTGTTTCCTGAAGAGATTGCGCTCTTCGGGAAACACAAAGAGATTAGCGCCTCAAAACTCACCTCTGTTCTGGGTCTCCTTTCGGAGGGTGTTTACAGTTCTGTGACTATGACCTGATGGCAGCACCAGATTCCCCTGAGAACTTGAAGTTAAGAAAAATGTAAGTTTCGATAAATTCTACGATGAACTTTCACCCAACAAACCCCTTTCTGTCTGTGGCAGGTAGGAAAACTCATCTTCATCCTTATACACAGTCAGTCCTCTTGAGAGAATCAACAAGGAGGTGTTGGTGGAGACCATCAAAGAGCATTCGATGATTTCCCAACAGGTTATTCATGATCACGATGGTTGAAGGGCTTCTCAACATAGCCCCCACAAAAGGTCTTCTCCTCTCTTCAGCTGCTGGCGGCAAAAGTATCACATTTATCAAGTAAGATGAGCAGAGGCCCTGTAAAATGGAGGAGATAACACACCTTGAAAGAGGCGAATAGAAGAGAATAAGGTCCTCCTCGCGCCTGCTGATCACAGTGATGAAAAAGCTGATTCACAAGGAAAACTGTGCTTCACCTCAAAGTCCAATTTCATTTGAAGAGCTGTAGAAGAAAACGAAACAATTCTGCAGATGGTGACCTGGCAGTTTTAGGAACTGATAATCCTGAATCTACTCTATTGTTTCTAATTGTAGACTTGTTTTAGACTAGGGGCATTTATACTTGAAATATTATAGTATAAACATGCAATATAATGGAAGTGGTGGGGAAAACTTAAAAACCACCTTTTTGCTTAACCTTCACTTTGTGGTATTTTGTGTTTGGAGTGTTTTTAACTAGATGACATAAACTGCACTTAAAACATTATTTCAGGTTATTGTGATTTTGTTAACTTCCCTGATTGTTATTGTCACAAAGTTTTATTGATGATTTGTTCAAGGGCCGTTCAACAAGATGAGCAGTATGCAGAGCCAGAACAGGGTCCTATGATGCTGACTCTGGTTGATTTGCTCTGATTTGCACATTTTGCATATTTTTAATGAAAAACAAGAAGCACTCCTAGAGCGCAGACCTCCATCAAGGCAGCTCACTCTGTGGGCAGTATTGACTTTTAAGGGAACAGTGTTGTATTTTGTTTAAATTTATCATTTTGAGCTTCACATCAATCTGCTGAATTTGGTCAGAGGTCAAGTGTGATGTGATATTCTCTTTATGTGATTCTTTCTATATGTTGAAAAAACCCACCACACTTATAAGACTCACAGTTTCTGAGTTATAAGGGTTTTTGCCACTTTCAACTGAATAAATTATTGCGTTGACGTTTCTTGACCTTGTAGTTGTAGTTGAAAATGTTAATGAATTGTTATAACATGCTTGTACGCATCCATTCAAACACTATGAAAAACATAACCAGCCTCCATTTCAAGGTGACTGTCTTAAAGATTGCTCTATTTTTCACCTTTTTGTTACGGAGTATAGCATGGTGGGAAAGGACGGAGAGAAACCCCCCCCCCCCCCCTAAGTTTTGTTGGTTTTGTTTTTGAGTTTGTTTTGGATTAATTGCATGTTTTTGTGTTTATTTACGGTTGTTGCACCTGTGTGGGAGGGGAGATTTTACTCTAGCCCAGCTGCCAGTGAGGCGGAGTTGAATACAGGGAGCGGCTGATTGGAGTTCCTCTTTATAAAGGGGAGAGGAAGCAGGAAGTGTGGTTGTTGTTTTTTTAGTAGGACCTCGGTGAAGCAGGAGAGCCCCGGAGATCCAGGACAAAGTGTGCGCATTTTTAATAGAAAGGATTTTTTTTTAGCCTGGCCTGGTTTTTGCTTTTAACGAAACGGAGGACGTGGAAAGGAGGACGTATTCCTATGGAGCTGTGAGAGGACGTGCTGGGAAAGAGAGGACGTGCTGGAAAAAAAGGGACGTGTTGGAAAAGAGGAAAACGAGCACTAGACTGGAGACCTCCTGCGCCCCGATAAGAAGAACTGGACCAGCTCGGGGAAGTTTAACTGCCGGGAGGTAATGTAGAGACCCAGCCTCGAACAAAGTTAAAGCCTGAAAAGGTGGGTGGCAAACCTGTTTTAGGGAGCTGCAGGATTGATACGTGTTGGTTGCGTGTTCGTGCAGTGACCCTCTCTCCCCTGTTTGTAACTAGGCGAAGAACTCGGACCGCGGTGGTCTTTGGGCTTTGGATCCCTGGCCGGGGTTGTCTTCAGCCGGTAGTTTGCCTAGAGGAAGAACAAATAAATTTTGTGTAACCCATTGCAGTGTGTGCGTGGTGGTTTGTTGCTGGTCCCTACTAGAATTCCTATTCTTTTTGCACGGAGGCTCTCTTAACAGACCTCCCGTAACATTTTAAATAAACAATGTCTTGACTACTTGTCTAGTAATTGTGTGTGATGTAAATTTGGTTGTTGATAACTCAGTTAGACTTCTGATTAAATGTGAAGCAGAATCATCATTTTGAGAATCGATATATGCAAATATTTGTTTTTATCAAAGCAGTATTTTGCTTGACAACCTTGAAAATGCTTTAAAAGTGCTTGAATTTGACTTTGGAAAAAGGTGAAGGAGCTCTGTGGCCAAGATGCAGCGAACCATGCAAGATTTTGATGGTCTACCATTAGGCATCCTTATAAATTTCCTCAGCCAGCACAGATGGTCTTCCACAGTGGTAGCCACTGTGATGGGAATCTGTTGAGATGTTTTTTTGAATGTTGGAGCGGAATTACACATGTATGCCCAACGCTTCCCAATGTGGAAAATGTCCTTTGGCAACGAGTGCAGCACCCGAATACAAAATAAGAGTGTAGTGGAGTATGCGCTCTCCTCAGAAGGACTTCCTGGGAGGTTGATTTGTGCTGAAAAAGGAACAGAGGGACTTAACAAGGCTGCCAGATCACCAGTCCATCTAAGCCTGTTTAAAGCATCCTGCCAGCACAGTACTGTTAGCTGTCCACACTCTGTATTGATGGGCCTGCACATCACTGCACCTCTGAAATCATTCAACCCATACAGGCCAAGAGATACGGTAGGAGTCCTGGTGAGGGTGAGGCTGTTTACTTACTTCGCCAGCAGTAGCGAGCTGTGTGGCTGGTGATGGAGGGGTTGCTGTAAGCAGATGGGCTGCAGGCAACCACCTCAATACTAACTGCTGCGCACTATATCTCGACACCCCGTGGGCTTTGTGACACTCAGACACGGAGTGAAATGATGCTGACAACTCAGTACCAAAGTGTTAAAAGCGGGATATGTAATGCGTCGAAGTGGTAACAGTTGTCAAACTGTCACAATCAAGATGACATATACTCTGACATGAGGAAAAAAGCAGTCTGCTGCAATAGTCACTGATGTAAAATGCCATGTTGTGAAGACACTTTTCCCCGAAACCCTTTACAGCACAATGAAGATGAGTTCATGTCCAAGCTTTATTTTCATGTACAGATGCAACTGTAGCTTTGTCAAAGTCAAAGTCAGCTTTATTGTCAATTCTGCCACATGTACAGGACATACAGAGAATAGAAACTACGTTACTCTCAATCCCTAGATAAAATAGCAAATGAACATTTAAATATAAGAGTGATTAAAAATGCAAGTAAAATAATTAAAAAGTAAAATTTAAATAAATAAATACAATACAATTTTTACATATAACAAGAAAGCTATACAATATACAATATAATGAGTAAATGACATTGAGTGCAAACCAGGCAGAGTAGTGCAAATGGGCAAATAGTGCAAATGGAGATTTGGTAATGTACGGTAAGAGATAGTGTAACAACAAAGTCTTATGAGGTAGTGGCAGTCCAATGCTCCACAAAGTGACTGGTAACTGGTGCAGGCCAGTGAGTGAGTTAGAGAGTGTGTGTGTGACAGAGTTCAGTAGGACCGTGGAGGAGAGAGGGGAGAGGGGGCAGAATCGGGAGGGAGTTAAGCTTCCTGACAGCCTGATGGATGAAGCTGTCCTTCAGTCTGCTGGTCCTGGCCCGGAGACTCCGCAGTCTCCTCCCCGACGGCAGCAGCTTGAAGAAGCTTTGCATTGGGTGCGTGGGATCAGCCGCTATGCAAAGGGCTTTTTTAGTGAGACGGGTGCTGTAAATGTCCTGGAGGGAGGGGAGAGAGACACCAATGATCCTCTCTGCAGCTCTCACTATGCGTTGGAGGGTTCTATGACAGGACGCATTGCAGGTTCCAAACCACACAGTGATGCAGCTCGACAGGATGCTCTCGATGGTGCCTCTGTAGAAAGTGTACATGATGGGGGCTGGTGCTCCTGCTCTTCTTAGTTTGCGGAGAAAGAAGAGACGCTGCTGTGATTTCTTGGCCAGTGCTGTGGTGTTGTACGTCCAGGAGAGATCCTCTGTGATGTGCACACCCAAGAACTTGGTGCTGCTCACTCTCTCCACAGACGCTCCGTCAATGGTCAGAGGAGCATGTTGGGTGTGCATTCTCCTGAAGTCCACAACAATCTCCTTCGTCTTCTCCACATTCAGAGAGAGATTGTTGTCAGCACACCACGTGGCCAGGCGTCTCACCTCACTTCTGTAGTCGGTCTCATCCCTGTTGCTAATGAGACCCACCACCGTTGTGTCGTCCGCAAACTTGATGAAAAGGTTGGAGCTGTATGATGGAGTGCAGTCATGGGTCAGCAGAGTGAAGAGGAGGGGGCTCAGCACACATCCCTGCGGGGCCCCCGTGTTTAAAATGATGGTGCTGGATGTATTACTGCCGACCCGTACTGCTTGAGGTCTTCCGGTGAGGAAATCCAACAGCCAGTTGCACAGTGAGGTGTTGAGCCCCAGCTGGACCAGTTTTTGAGTGAGCTGTTGGGGGATTATGGTGTTGAATGCTGAACTGAAATCTATGAACAGCATTCGAACATATGAGTCATTTTTGTCCAGGTGTGTGAGTGCCGAGTGGAGTGCAGTGGAGATGGCATCATCGGTTGAGCGGTTGGGCCGATACGCAAACTGGAAGGGATCCAGGGAGGGGGCAGGACAGTCTTGATGTGTTGCATGACTAGTCGTTCGAAGCACTTCATCAGGATGGGAGTAAGTGCAACAGGACGGTAGTCATTAAAGCAGGAGGGAGATGACTTTTTTGGAACCGGAATGATTGTGGTGGCTTTAAAACATGTGGGGACGACAGCCTGGATGAGTGATATGTTGAAGATGTCTGTGAAGACATCAGTGAGTTCCACTGCACAGTCTCTCAGTACACGACCAGGAATGTTGTCAGGACCCGGAGCTTTATGTGCATTGATCCTGCTGAGGGATCTCCTCACGCTGTCCGGGGACAGAGTCATCACCTGGTCACCAGGAGGGGGTGGGGTCTTCTGTGCAGTGGTGCTGTTTTGGACTTCAAAGCGAGCAAAGAAAGTGTTCAGCTCGTTCAGCAGGGGGATAGTGCTATCACAGGTCTGTGGTGGGGGCTTGTAATCTGTGATGGTCTGAATGCCTCGCCACAGGCTCCGTGAGTCTCTGCTGTCTTTGAAGTGATGAGATATTTTCCTGGAGTACTGTCTCTTAGCCTCTCTGATGCCACGGGAAAGGTTGGCCCTAGCTGTCCTCAGGCTTGCCTCGTCTCCATCTCTGAAGGCAACATTCCGAGCTTTCAGCAGCCTGTAGACCTCTCCTGTCATCCATGGTTTTTGATTGGCCCGGACAGTTATGGTTTTTGTGACTGTTACATCCTCAATACACTTGTTGATGTAGGCAGTAACAGTCTCTGCGTACTCCTGGAGGTCAGTGGTGTTGTTATAGGTGGCAGCCTGCTTAAACATGTTCCAGTCTGTGGTGTTGAAGCAGTCCTGTAAAGCCTCTGAAGACCCTTCTGGCCACACTTTTATCTGCTTACGAACCGGTTTGGTGACTTTAACGAGCGGTCTGTAGGCAGACATTAGCATGACAGTGATATGGTCTGAGGCGCCGAGGTGGGGGAGGGGAAAAGATTTGTAAGCTCCTCTTTGGGTGGTATTTTGTGTAACACAAAAACTTTAACAGAATTACTCCATACCACAGCACCGGCTAACACAAGCTTAAAACAAAGAGCAGTTCATCAAATTATTAAAAGAAAACCCCAATACATTTTCCACCCTTTTGGAAGCAGATCGACAGCTTTGGGACTGAAAAATGAATGTATACAAAAAAATGTGCAAATACATAGACAGTTTGTTACAGATATAGAGGCAGAGACGTATTTATTTTCTCTACATAATGAGACACTGGTTTATGAATGCATCTGTTAGTTGCAAAAAGGTTTATTGACAAGCAGCTCGAAGCTTGAGAGACAAAATGTTTACTGTGCATTTTACTGAAACTATCATTTCCCCCCCGCCTAACCTTGATGAAAATGTTTTTGTTGCATATGCTGGGAGTCAGACCTCATAAACCTTTCACTTCAGTGCTGCAACGCTACGTAATTCACAAGCAAAAAAAATAATAAATGCCTTTTAATGTAATCTACTTAATTTCATATGGACTGCTGCATTTGAAAAGGTTGTTTGTTGTGACACGTTAGCTCTGTGGTTCTGACAACCTCACACATTTTTATTTTATATAAAGTTTTATCTGAAATGCTTGCAATGTGAACCTTTAAACAACGTCTCCGCATGCAAGTGGTGGCGGCTTGATTGGATTACTCAACATATTTTCCTTTGACTCTGCACGAGCAAATCATAATTTTGACACAAACATCATATTCGACTGTAGAGCAGCAGTTTATCAGGGACACTGATGTACAGTCACTACAGTCACCCAGGTGTCGGCTGTGTGATTTAGGCTAGCCTGACGTATGCGTAGCAGAGGCCCAGGCAGTTTTAGCATGTGTTCATTAGCGGATGATGGGGAAGCTTATCATTCTGAATAGCCTCATTAGTGATAGGGATTAATATGCCGTAGGTTCATTAGAGAGACAGGCGGAGGACTGTGTTGCCAGAATTGCAACAAGACTGCTGGTCAGAGCTGGCCTTCGTTGTAGTGTAGTTTAAGCTATTAACGATGAAGCCTCTGTAGAGTTTTGATCATTTGATCACAGCAGATGACACAGTGGTGTATTGTGATTCGAGTCTGACAGCATCCTGGCTAATGCTGCATTTCTATAGAAGATGCAATGATCACATTTCAAAAAATCAGAATCAGAATCAGAATACTTTATTGATCCCTGGGGGAAATTATTTTTTGTTACAGTGCTCCATTTTAAACCAACATTAAGACAAGACAGACAATACGCTAACTAAGAATAGTACAATATATACATATATA